AACCTGCTGGGCTCCGGCGATCCCTCCGCCTCAGCCTTCCGAGTAGCCGAAATTACAGGCACGCGCTACCACGCCCGGCTGATTTTTTGATTTACTGTAGAGATGAGGTCTCACCAAGTGGCCTAGGCGGGTCTCGAACCTGCGGGCTCAGGCAATCCACTCACCTCGGCTTCCCAAAGCGCAGGATTACAGGCTGAACCATGAGCCCGGCTAATTTTTTTTTTTTTTTTGAAGAGGAGTCTCACTCTGTTCCCCAGGCTGCAATGCACACTCACAGCCACCACAGCCTCGACCTGCCGGACTCAGGTGGTCCTTCTGCCTCAGCCTCCCAAGTAGCTGGAACCAAAGGCGTGCGCCACCACGCCTGGCTAATTTTTTGATTTATTGTAGAGATGAGCTCTCGCCATGTTGCCTAGGCTGGTCTCAAACCCCTGAACTCAGGCAATCTTCTCGCCTTCACCTCCCAAAGTCCTGGGACTACAGGCATGAGCCATCGCACCCAGCCCAATTTCCTTCTACTTTTTTTTTAGAGATGAGGTCTCGCTGTTGCCCAGGCTGGTCTTGAATTTCAGGGCTTGAGTGATCCTCCTGCCTCGGCCTCCCAAAGTGCTGGGATCGCAGGTGTGAATCACCGTGCCTGGCTCTTCTGAACCTTTTGAGCTCTGTACCACGAACGACTATTTAATGGATGCCAAATAACTTTGCAAACTTAAAAACATTCAGCTCCATACAGAATTTCTTTCAGAGGTGATGGGGATGTTCTAAAATTAACCGTGGTGAGGTTGCACAAATCTGTGAACGTCCTAAGGCCTACGGAATTGTACACGCTACGTGGGTGAACAGCGTGGTTACACAAAGTGTCTAAAAAAATAGCTGGCTGGTCAATGCCACTTCGTACTGCCTGGTAAGATCCCACCCGGCTCCCAGCAGAGCACAGGAAGGAGAATTCAATTTCCTGAGCCTCTGGGCACCTGTCCTGGGGTTAAAGGGAGGGGCTTCCTGGAGGAGGTGTGGCCCTACACGCCCCCAGGGCTCCCAGTCGGTCAGCTGGGAACACAAGAGAAGGAAGGTGGTGAGCATTCCAAGCTCTTGGCCCCTGGCTTGTCGTCCTCTGTCCCTGGACACAGCCAGCCCTGCAGTCCCCAGAAGACTCGGTTTCCATCCAGCAAACCAGAGATGACCCTGTGCTGTCCACTCCTTGCCAGGGCCTGCCGGGGTCAGGCCCAAGAAGAAGACGCCACCCAGGGCTGAGGGACGCCCCGTAGAGCGGGCAAAACCAGGCCTGCAAGGTGAGACTCATACCCCAAGTAGGCTCAGGGGCTGTGTTCACCTCAGAAGCTGTAGGAATCTGATGCTAGGAGAATTAAAAAGCACACGGGAGGCTCACGCCTATCATCCCAGCACTCTGGGAGGCCAAAGTGGGAGGCCCGCTTGAGTCCAGGAGTTTGAGACCAGCCTGGACAGCATAGCCAGACCCTATCCCTACCAAAAAAATGAAAAAGTTAGCCAGGCGTGGTGGCGCGTGCGTCTGTTGTCCCAGCTACTCGGGAGGCTGAGGCAGAAGGTTTGCCTGAGCCTGGGAGGCTGCGGTGACCATGAGTATGCCACTGCCCTCCAGCCTGGGCGACAGAGTGAGACCCTGACTCGTAAATTTAAAAAAAGCACAGAGGGCACGTCAAGTCAGATTCCAATTCTCATACACACAGATGCACATCGGTGTACCGAGTTCGCCCGGTCCCCTGCAGAATCGGGGTTTTCCCCGGCCAGCCTTGAGAAGAGGGTCTCTCGTGGGACAGGAGGGTATGTCACTTTGCCCTCTCTGCAGTCACTTTGCTGAAGGGTGTGCCCCAGTGGGAGCCAAACCCAGCCCCACACGGCCACGGGAAGCACCGGGGAGCACCCTAGCCTCAAAATTCACCCCGCATGTGTCCTTTGGCAAACAGTCCAGCCACTTTCCAGAAACCAGGAAGGCCCGGGGTGGGACTCGGGAGTGTTCCTGGCAGGGACGACACAGGGGAGCTCACACAGGCCTGGCGACACCGGGCACGCAGCTCAGAGACCTCCCCCTGGACCCTGAGACAGCCGGGGTGGCCCCAGGAGGTGGGCTCTGGGTGAGACTTCAGCCCCTCACACTTTCATGTGGTTTTCAGATTTTCCACAGTGAACAAGGATTACTCTTATCTAAACAGAAAACAGGCCGGGTGTGGTGGCTCACGCCTGTAATCTCGGCATCCTGGGAGCCAGAGGTGAGGATTGCTTGAGTCCAGGAGTTCTATCTGGACCAGCCTGGGCAACCTAGCAAGACCTTGTCTCTACAAAAAATAAAAATAAAAACACGAGTAGCCAGGCATGGTGGTGTTCACCTGTAGCTCCAGCTACTTGGGAGGCCGAGGCGGGAGGATCACCTGAGGCAGCGATCGTGCCACTGCGCTCCAGCCTGGGCGACAGAGGGAAACTCTCGACTCAAATAAATAATTAAAGAGAAAGCAAGGTCCTTAAGGAACAAACCAGAGGGTGTGGAGAGAGAGGAAGGCGGACACGCCCTCCGAGCTCTGGGTGGGACATTTCCCGGTCCTGGAATCCCACGGTCCCCAGAAGTCTCCCGCCAGCCCCGCCTGCGTGGGGGGGATGGGAGGGTCCTGCCGGCCTGCCCTTCCTTCCGGCTGGCCCCACTCACCGGCGGGTACAGCGTGGCTTTGGTGCTGGACGAGCTGCTCGACGAGGCCCCGGTGACATGGTTCCGGTCGTAGAGGGGCATCCCGCCCCGGCCGCCCACCAGACTCACGGAGCTCATCATGGACTTGCCACACGCAATGCCTGGTGGAACGGGGACAGGGCGGGGGGCGTCAGGGCCGGGCCACCCCGACGCGGCCCACGGGTCCCCCCAAGATGTCCCCCGCCCGCCACAGGCCTCCCCACCCGCGGCCAGCTGAGCTCTCTGGGAGCATCTGTTAAGCGGGGAGGCACGGCACCTACCCTGGGCCCACGGCCGGCGGGAGGGCACCCCGCTGCAGGCAGCCGGCCAGGCCAATGGGCCCGTCCTTGGGGGTGGCAGTGACGGGGATGATGCCACCGCCACAGGCTTCCAGGAGCTCTTGGGAAGCCTGGTGACCCCACTCTCTGGGGAGAGTCAGGCCACGTGTGCACCCAGCCATGGGGTCTCCTCGAGACTGGCATGGGGGGGAAGGGCAGGGCCGGAGAGAGAGAGCCCAGGGCCGGCAGGCACAAGGCTTTCCCCTGGGGCTGGAGCTGGCGGGACGCCCTCAGACCCCACAGGGACCCCACCCCCTAGGCCCACCCACGAACAGACGAGGTTCAGCCTTGCCGTGCAGCTTCCCTGGCCACCTACGGCCATGACCTGTGTCCCTGATGCCAGGGCCACTTGGTCATGGCAACCATGCTCAGCCATGGGTCCCAGCGATGCTCGGGACCCAGCTGAGCACTGCACAACGAGTCTCCCTGCCCCAGTGAGAGCCCAGCTGCCCCCACGTGTCAATTCCAGGGACATGAGGATTGGCGAACCACTTAGGACCCGTCCCACAAGACCCCTGAAGGTCAAGTCCAATGCTAGAGGGCAGCTGTTGACCCGCCGGCCCCTGTCAAGGAGTCCGATGCCAAACAGGCTCGGCAGGAAAGGCTGCATGCCACAATCGATTAGTAATGCCTGCCACGTGCACCATCAGGTAGGTGGGGTGTGTGAGGGCGCACCCGATCCACGCATCCCGTGGCCCGGCCCGCTCCCCTGCCGCCGCCAAGCCCCTGTCCGCCTCGGGGTCCTCACCTGGGAAGGGGCCGTGCTGGGAGCCACCCGGGGCCAAGAAGTCCAGGGGCACGTGGGGGGTCCCGCTGACGTACTCGTGTGGGAAGGACCCGCTGGCGCCCGCGTAGCGCTGGCACACCACACGCTGGCAGACGAAGTAGACGCCCCCCATGACGAAGAGGGAGAGGATGATGCCGATGACGGGCCCGATGGCACTGCTGTGGGCCGGGGCGTCATCCGCGGGCGGCTTGGTGATCTCTGCCAAGGACCAGAGGCGGACGGGAGGCAAGGAAACCGGTAAGGGCCCTGCTGGGGTGGGGCTGGCTCTGCCCAGGCCCGGTCCCCAGGGACGGCTGACAAGGAGACCAGAGAGGCTGGGAGGCTGCTGACCCTGCCGGGCCTCCCGATGGTCTCTGCAGAGCAGACCTTACTCAGTGCCTTGGCAGGGGCCCTTTTTGTTTGAGTTGGAGTCTCACTCTGTCACCCAGACTGGCGTGCAGTGGCTGCTCCCGGCCACCACAGCCTCAACCTGCTGGGCTCTGGCGATCCTTCCACCTCAGCCTTCCCAGTAGCTGGAACTACAGGCATGCGCTACCACGCCCGACTGATTTTTTGATTTATTGTAGAGATGAGGTCTCGCTGCCCAGGCGGGTCTCGAACCCGCGGGCTCAGGCAATCCACTCACCTCAGCCTCCCAAAGGCGCGGGATTACAGGCTGAGCCACCGAGCCCAGCTTCCGGCTAATTTTTGATTCATTGTAGAGATGAGGTCTCCCAAGTTGCCCGGGCGAGTCGCAAGCCCGCGGGCTCAGGCAATCCACTCGCCTCGGCCTCCCAAAGCGCTGGGATGACAGGCTGAGCCACCGAGCCCGGCCGGCAGGGGCCCTTGCGGCAGCTAGACTCGAGCGCCCGGAGCAGCCGTGTGTCTCATGAGGGAAGAGCTGCCCGCCGGGCCTGCTGGGTGGGTCCTTGGGCCACGCCACTGTCCAGGCTGCCACGGAGGGAGTTTCCAGGCTCTTGACTCAACTCTGACAACAGCCACCTCCATTTCCCAAGGGGTTGGCCCAGTGACCCCAGGAGCCGTCAACTCCCAGAAGCGGGAGGAACCTGGCTCTGGGGTGAGGCCCGACGGGCTACCGTCACCCCAATACCGGGGCCAAGCTGGAGATGGGGCACAGGTCCTGCTGGACTGCACACCTGCCCACGGAGCAGGGGACCCCTGGCAGCCCTGTCGCCGCCATCTGGCCCCGGTCACTCTCTGTAGAGGGCGTCTGGCCTGGCTTGGCGTGCAGGGCCCCAGGGCTCAGGGAGTCCTGTGCGGAGGCCTCCCTCCCTTGGCCCCCTGGACTTCCCTCTCTCCGGCAGCCAGAACAGGAGTGCTTTCAGCCCAGGTCCCTCGGCAGGGACAGAGCGGCCACGTCCCCTCCAGGGGGACCCATTCCTCCTTGTCTGCGACTCTAGCTCCCTTCCTGTCCGAATCGGATAGCTTTTCCAGAGTTACTGCCTCCGAGAAGGCCTCCCGGACCACCTTGGCCTCCCATTCCCTGGTTCCTATAACCCTGAGTGTGCAGGCCATGTCACTGGAGAGGCATGTGGGATGTGTCATATGTGTGTACACAAGTGCATCACCGCTTCTCAGCCAGACAGCAAGCTGGCAGGGCGCGGGACTGCCACAGCCTCGGGGTGATCTCACTGCCTAGCAGATGCCACCATGGTGAAGTTTCTGTGGGCAGAAGCATGATACTTGGCGCAAGGCCGGCCCCGTCCACCCAGGCAGCCGCTGCAGGGGACGCCGCTGTCCCTCCAGCCCTTAGACGCCCTCCAGGCCTCCCCGCCCTCCACCAGAAGCCAGCTCACCACACATGAGCTCGTCGGAGCCGTCGATGCAGTCTGGGAAAGCGTCGCACTGCTGCTTGATAAGGACGCACTGGCCGCTGGCGCACCGGAACTGGTTGGGCAGGCAGACGGCTGCAGGAAGGAGTCGCGCTCAGAAGGGGGGCGGGGGCGGGGGCGGGGGCGAGCACCCCATGTGGGCCCAACGTCCAGAGCCTCCAGATGGAGAGCAGACAGACGGGACCCTGTCCGGGACCGGGACCAGGCCGGGAGTGGTCATAGCCGATCCGGCGTCCACCCTCCCCCGATGAACCCCATTCCAAGGCCCGTGCCGTGGGGGACACGTGTGCGGAGACTGGCAAGGGGGAGACCCCAACGCCACCACACACCTCTTGCCCCTGGGGGTGTTTGCAAGGCGCCCACAATGGGTCAGGCCTGCACGGTGCGTGGACTCACGACGGCCCTGCCTGGGGTTCCCCCAGGTCATGGGAGACTGGGGATGCCTAACGGGGACAGCCCCACGGACCTCACCTCCCGCCAGTGGGGGGTGCGAGGGCGGTGCCAGGGAGACCTCGAGGGAGGCGACAGAGCCGACGGAGCCCTCCACTGCAGAGGAAGTGGCCCACGTGGGAGCCACATGGCCACGGCCCTCGGATGGGGGAGAAGCCGGGACGGCCCTGACACGCCCCTTTGCCTCCCTGGACGTGGCCTGGGGGGAGCTGCAGCCCAGGAGGAAGGCAGTTGTCGGGGCTTGGTCTCTACCCACCCCGGCAAACCTGTTGCCTAAGCTCCCCAGTGCCCTGCCAGGGTGTCCCGCCCTGGGAACCAGAGACAAGGGGACCCTGTCCTAGCCACGGTGGGATAATTTTCTGTCAACCAAGCAGAGAAAGACGCTTCCGAGACAGCATGGAGGCTGTGTGTGGTGGCTCACACCTGCCATCCTAAGACTTTGGGAGGCCAAGGCAGAAGGATCACTTAAGTCCAGGAGTTCGAGACCAGCCTGGGCAACACAGCAAGACCCTGTCTCTACAAAAAAAATAAAAACAGTTCGCCAGGCGTGGTGGCGTGCGCCTGTAGTCCCAGCTACTCAGGAGGCTGAGGTGAGAGGATCGCCTAAGCCTAGGAGGGGAGGCTGCAGTGAGCTGTGATCGGGCCGCTGCCCTCCAGCCTGGGCGAAAGAGTGAGATCCCAACTCAAAAAACAAAAACAGAACAGCCCGGAGCCACGGCCTGCCAAGGCCCTGCTATCAGCACGGCATTTGACACCAGGAGAAGTATTTGGCGAGGACGAGGGCGGGAACCGTCCCTAACCAGGGCTCCTGAGATCCGCGTGCCGGCCAGGGGGTGCAGCAGGGCTGGGTGAGGCTTTCCTGCAAGGACCAGGGGGTGAACACACAGGGTAGGGCTCAGAGGCTCTAGCCAACTCCCTAACTCTGCTTTAATTTTTTTTTTTGACTTGGGGTCTCACTCTGTTGCCCAGGCCAGAGTGCAGTGGCATGATCACAGCTCACCCATAGCCTCAGCCTCCTGGGCTCAAGCAATCCTCCCGTCTTGGCCTCCCAAGTAGCTGTGACTACAGGTGCGCACCGCCACGCCTGGTTAATTTTTGGATTTTATCGTAGAGATGAGGTCTCGCCGTGTTGCCCAGACTGGTCTCAAACCCCGAGGCTCAGGCGATCCTCCCGCCTGGGCTTCCCAGGGACTACAGGTGTGAGCCACCACAACGCTTCATCAGAGCCCCTCATGCATGGCGGGTGGGAGGCAGGGCGGGGCGGGGGCCTGGGCGGGGCCTCACCGTCGCAGTCGGCCTCATCCGAGCGGTCCTGGCAGTCGGCCTCGCCATCACAGCGCAGACGCAGGTCCACGCACTGGCCCCGCGCGCAGGGGAACTGAGCGGCCGAGCACACAGGGCAGCCCTCCTCGTCGCTCTGGTCGTCGCACTCGGGGAAGCCATCACAGCGCCAGGCCCCGGGGATGCAGTCGATCTCGCCCGTGGCACACGCGAACTGGTCAGGGGAGCAGGTGGGAGGCTCTGGGGGGGCAGAGGAGGTGTCACCCGCGGCCCCACCCGCGAACGCCAGCGGAAGCCGGAGTGGCGCCAATTCGCACCACGAGCGCGGTCCTGCTCGCCCGCACAGGAGGGAGGCGGCGAGGCCAGAGGCCGGCCGCACGGAGACAGGCACCTGTGCACTTCTCACTGCAGAGGGGACGGGAGCTGGTTGGAACCCTGAGCCTCACGCAGCAGACACGGCATCGAGGATGGCAGGAATGCCCGGGCGGGACACGCGGCCCTGACCGCGGAGAGGCTGGGGCCTGCATGCGATTGTAGACATGAGGTCTCGCCACGTTGCCCAGGCTGGTCTCAGACCCCTGGGCTCCAGCGATCCTCCCGCCTGGACATGCCAAAGTGCTGGGACCACAGTGGCTCATGAGGTTGGGGCCGCACCCCCTTCCCCGGGTCATGGTCTCCCCACAGGCACCCTGAGGGCACAGGCTGGATCGGGGGTCCAGACCGGCTGCCACCTCAATGGGCATCAGTACCTCCACCCAGCTGCGTCCGAGTGTCCACTGTCCCCCATCAGGGGCGGGCGGTCAGCACCCACGACTCTGTGAGGGGCCCACGAGCCAGGAGCCGGTGCTGGTTAAAGACCCAGTCTCAAGACAAGCAGGAGGGTCAGCCTCCCAAGGAGATGGAACTACAGGCACGCGCCACCACGCCTGGCTAATTTTTCTATTTTGTGTAGCGATGAGGTCTCACTATGTTGCCCAGGCTGGCCTCCACCTCTTGGGCTCAAGCGATCCTCCCACATCAATCAACCTCCCAAAGTGCTGGGATGACAGGCACGAGCCACTGTGCCCCTAGCAGGCGCTGTCTTAATGCTGAACAACAGTCCGCGCCACACCTGAAATCTGACCCAGGGAAGAGTAGCCGTCTCCAGCTGCCGTGATGCGTGAAGCCTTTGGATGTTTGGAAGCCCCGGGGCTCCCCCTGAGTGAACAGGGACTGTGACACAGACGAGGGGACCGTGGAAGGACACGCCAGAGTCAGCCCACGGTGTCTGAGAGGAGCAGCGGACAACTGCAAGCCACACCTGGCCACGGGGAACGCGTGGGGACAGTGGGGACTGAGCATGGCAGGGAGAGACCTGGGATAGATCTCAGAAACATTGAAGTGGCCACAGGGTCCCCACCCAACTTCAGCGAGTCCTTGTTCTCCTGCGACCTCACAGAGAACTGCACAGTGAATACGAGATTCTCAGCCAGCCGCAGTGGCTCACACCTGTCATCCCAGCACTTTGGGAGGCCGAGGTGGGAGGATCGCTTGAGCCTAGGAGTTCGCGATCAGCCTGGGCAACATAGCAAGACCCCATCTCCATAAAAAATAAAAAATGAGCCGGGCTCGGTGGCTCAGCCTGTAATCCCGCGCCTTTGGGAGGCTGAGGTGAG